CCTTTTATTTTAATTTTTTTTATTTTTATTAATCTGTGGCAAACAAAAATTCAGATGTAAATTGAGAATTGCAAGATATAAACTCTGAGATACATATACTTGCAATTCTGAAAACAAAAAACAAAAAAAAAACTGAAATGTGAGAAAACTAGCAATATTGAGAAGTCTGAATGGACTTGCAATAACAAAATACAGAATTACAAGATTGCATAAATATAGACTCTGTAAGCTCTGAATTCTGAAAAAAAAAAAGATTTCAGAGCTTACATCTCACAATTCTAAGTTCATATCTAGCAAAAGTCAGAATTTTGAGACCATTTTTATTTTTTTTAATTTTGTGGCAGAAACAGGCTTCCTATCCGACACTGAGCTCACAGAAACCTTTCAATCAGCCCCTGTCCGACCCGTCCTCCACGCCAGACCTCTATCTCAGTCCCCTCTGAATGTGAATCTCTGAATCACGAGGGGAAATGATCCCGACACCAGCAGCGCTCCATCACGATATTCACACATCCATAGAAACTCCACCCAAAACAGACATTTACATGCGTTATACCCACACCGAGAATTGCAACGACATTTCATACTTTTTGTTCTTTTGTATACTTATATTTGAGGAGAATACATGTACACAGAGATGATCGGTGGACCTCGAGGGCAATGCTAACGTGAGTATGATAAGAAAAGCGTGAAGCGGACGACGAAAGCGGACTGACAGCAGGATAAAAAGCTTAAGAGACGAGAAAAAATCTGAAAAATCACCTGCTTTTGTGCTTGAAATCAAACCTCATACAGGGACGGAAAAAGTATTTCGACACTTAAAAGACATTTAAATGTCTTCATGTCAAAGCATTAGATTTCTCACTTTTCTAAGCCATTTTTTGCATGGTTAGGGTTAGGTTATTTTTTTAAGCAGATGAATGATGTCCACATCTGTAGTTTTTTTTATTATTTTTTTTTTTACCAAGGATATGATATTCAACTAAAACCATAAAATCAAAAATCATTACCTGAGATAAAATAAAACATTTTTTTATTTCTTATTTTAATTTATTTTAATTTGATGTACTAAAATAACAAACTAAAAAAAATAAAAAAACAAAAAAATACTAAAACTTTACAATGAAAACAGAAAATATGAAATAAAAACGAATTTAAGATCTTAATAAAACTCAAAAAATATCTCAATGATAGCAGTATTAATTAACTAACGTTTTACAACCGGAAAGTGTTTAAATAGGTCTATTTTTTTATTTTAATTTCCAACACTATATCTATTGTTTCATCATTTCTAATGCAAAGTCAATCAGATATTTTTAAGTGTCATTTAAGCATTCAAATACTTTTTGTGGCCACTGTGAAGCCCACTTATACTAAGCAGTATGCAATATCTTTCATCAGTGCACAGCATACGAAATGCACGGTCTTCAGCATTCATTAATAACAGCATAGTGGCCCTCAGACTTTAAATAGGTTTGGGCTTTATTCCGGGGTTATTGCTGGCTGGAATGCAATAATGAAGCACATATTCAGGGAGAACTATCGTATTAGAGTATATACAGCATTAACATTGCAAACTGAACGGTCAGCGCTCATGCAGGGTCATTGTGAACGATTGCATAAAGCAGCGCAGGGGCCGCAGCGCGTTCAGTCACGCACCACTGCTTTACGTCAAAGCCTCTTCGCCGTGTGCTCTTAAGTGGCGTTTAATTAGCCTGTAGGGGATCGGACTCCACATCGGGCTCGAGACTCAAAGGCACATCTGTCCTTGAAGAGGATTCTGTCAGCGCCTGGACTGAGCTTGATTTATGAGCTCTGCCGCTCACCAGATGGGGGACGGAGAGAATATGACGCTCCGCTTGCTTAGCGAGTCGCAGTCGCTGGCTAATTACATCTTTATCTCCTGCTAATCTGATTCTGAACAGGAAAAAAAAGGCGGCGCGTAGAATCTAGAACTGCGTTCCATTCAGCTCGGATGGTTGGATTTTCCAACAACTTGGAAAAGTGCAATCCAAGGCAAACATCAAGTCAGACGTGCAATGGGGAAATTTGTGCAGAAATTCAGACAATTTAATAATAATAATTTATGCATTTAGCAGACGCTTTTATCCAAAGTGACTTAAAGTGCATTCAGGCTATACGTTTTTACCAGTATGTGTGTTCCCCGAGAATTGAACCCACGACCTTTTGCGCTGCTGACGCAATGCTCTACTACTGAGCCACAGGAACACAGACATACAGAATAAAATAAAATGGGATTGGGACAAAATTAAGAAGCCCCGCACATGACATGCGGACAGTGAATTAAAAATGTGTTCCCTTGTTAAATAGTGGCCACAAATTAAGAGTTTGCTCCCACTACTTAATTCGTTCCGACGTTTTATTAAATCATGTTGTACTCATTTGTTGCCTTTTTTTATTTAATTAAATAATATAATGAATTAGTATGACATGACCATGATTTATTAAAATGAGGGAACGAAATTGTACATTGTGGCCACGATTTACTAAAAAAGGGAACAAATTGGTACGATGTGGCCACAATTGACTAAAACGAGGGAATGAATTAGGACGACGTAGCCACGATTAACTTAATTGAGAAAATTAATTAGTACGACATGGGCATGTTTTACAAAAAATGTGTTCCCTTGTTAAATAGTGGCCACAAATTAAGAGTTTGCTCCCACTACTTAATTCGTTCCGACGTTTTATTAAATCATGTTGTACTCATTTGTTGCCTTTTTTAATTTAATTAAATAATATAATGAATTAGTATGACATGACCATGATTTATTAAAATGAGGGAACGAAATTGTACATTGTGGCCACGATTTACTAAAAAAGGGAACAAATTGGTACGATGTGGCCACAATTGACTAAAACGAGGGAATGAATTAGGACGACGTAGCCACGATTAACTTAATTGAGAAAATTAATTAGTACGACATGGGCATGTTTTACTAAAATGAGAGAACGGATTAGTACGAAGTGCCCACGATTTCCTAAAAAAAGGAACGAATTAGTACGACATGGGCATGTTTTACTAAAATGAGAGAACGAATTAGTATGATGTGGCCATGACTTAACGAGAGAACAAATTAATACAGCATGACCACAGTTCACTAAATGACTAAAACGAGGGAACAAATTAGTACAATGTGGCCTAGATTTCCTAAAAAAAGGAACGAATTAGTACGACATGGCCACAATTTACTAAAATGAGAGAACGAATTAGTATGATGTGGCCATGACTTAACGAGAGAACAAATTAATACAGCATGACCACAGTTCACTAAATGACTAAAACGAGGGAACAAATTAGTACAATGTGGCAACGATTTACTAAAAAAAGGAACGAATTGGTACGATGTGGCCACGATTTACTAAAACGAGGGAATGAATTAGTACGACATGGCCATGATTTACTAAAACGAGGGAATGAATTAGTACGACGTAGCCACGATTAACTTAATTGAGAAAATTAATTAGTGCAACATGGGCATGTTTTACTAAAATGAGAGAAAGGATTAGTACGAAGTGCCCACGATTTCCTAAAAAAAGGAACAAATTAGTACGACATGGCCATAATTTACTAAAACGAGAGAACGAATTAGTATGATGTGGCCATGACTTAACGAGAGAACAAATTAATACAGCATGACCACACTTTACTAAATGACTAAAACGAGAGAACAAATTAGTACAATGTGGCAACGATTTACTAAAAAAAGGAACGAATTGGTACGATGTGGCCACGATTTACTAAAACGAGGGAATGAATTAGTACGACATGGCCATGATTTACTAAAATGGAGAGAACGGATTAGTACGAAGTGCCCACGATTTCCTAAAAAAAGGAACAAATTAATACAATGTGGCCTAGATTTCCTAAAAAAAGGAACAAATTAGTACGACATGGCCACAATTTACTAAAACGAGAGAACGAATTAGTATGATGTGGCCATGACTTAACGAGAGAACAAATTAATACAGCATGACCACAGCTTACTAAATGACTAAAACGAGGGAACAAATTAGTACAATGTGGCAACGATTTACTAAAAAAAGGAACGAATTGGTATGATGTGGCCATGATTTACTAAAACGAGGGAATGAATTAGTACGACATGGCCATGATTTACTAAAATGAGGGAACGAAATAGTATATTGTGGCCACAATTTACAAAAAAAAAAAGGAACGAATTGGTACGATGTGGCCACGATTTACTAAAACGAGGGAATGAATTAGTACGACATGGCCATGATTTACTAAAATGAGGGAACGAAATAGTATATTGTGGCCACAATTTACAAAAAAAAAAAGGAACGAATTGGTACGATGTGGCCACGATTTACTAAAACGAGGGAATTAATTACCGTATTGACCCGAATATAAGACGATGTTTTTTTCTTGGAAATACATCTGAAAAAAACGCGGTCGTCTTATCTTCAGGGTCTAGACTTTGACATGTCAATAATACACCCACAACAATAGGTGGCGCCAAATACTCATAAAACGAGTGTGCCATGAAATACGTAACGTAATGCGTGTTGTAAAGATCGCGCGTAAAAACAAAAGAATAAGAAAAGCTTACAGCTGCATGAGTTGTGACTGTCACGTTAGCCTGATGGGACCAAACTCTCTTTGTGATTTTAAAACGTAAGACAGTACCCAGATTTGAAGACTGCAGTAAGATTTAACGTCTACTGTTAATAAGATTTTGGTAGGCTACTATTAGATGGATAGCCTAAATGTCCTAATTCAGATGGGCTACCTGCTTTTTTCTTTTTTTTTTATGGTATATCAAAAAGTGTATATTTTTTAAATGTGATTGTTGGTACATTTGACCAGTTTTTACCATACTTTCAAAACAAAAATTAAAATAGGAAAAATATGCAATATGAAAATAATTGAAAACAAAATGTGTTTTACTGAGAAAAAACAAGATTTGGTTTTTAAAAAGCCTTTTTCTAAAAGGTACATCTGGAAAAAGGGGGGGTCATCTTATTGCAAATCAGGGTCGTCTTATATTCGGGCCAATACGGTAGTATGACGTAGCCACGATTAACTTAATCGAGAAAATGAATTAGTATGACATGGGCATGTTTTACTAAAATGAGAGAACGGATTAGTACGACGTGCCCACGATTTACTAAAAAGGGAACAAATTAGTACAATGTGGCCATGATTTACTAAAACGAGAGAACGAATTAGTACAGTGTGGCCACGATTTACAAAAAAAGGGAACAAATTAATTAGTCATAGAAACAAATTCTTAATTCGTGGCCATGATACATGTATTTTTTTCTGTATGGCATGAGCAGGGCTCTGTACAAAATGTTTAGAAAATATGTATATAACACGCTGAATGCTCCGGTCTGTTAACCACACACCTGCAGAACTAATGCTAGCATTGCATAGCTTCGCAATTTGGTTGCGAAAAGACTGTTGACAAAAAAAAAAAAAACATTTTCTTTCCTTGTATGTCATTTTCCAAACATAATACATGCAGTAAATGCATGCATTTTTTGTTGCAACTTGATATCACAGTCTCTGAATGGAACGCAGATTCACACTAACACGACCGTACGTAACCGCAGGATACTGAGGGATTTGATTATGTCATCGAGGCAGACATGAGCATTACATCATTACTGCAGAATATATCATACATTACAGTCATCAACAGCATGGAAAAAAAATACAGTACACATTTGAAATGATATTAGGATGCCTACACGCTAGAGTTTACAATGCAAATACACTGAGCTCAGTGGGGATGGTGCATGATAAAGACGGTTGACAAATGCAACGGTTTGAAAAAGCAACACTGCACTTCGTACTGTATATTTGTTCAATTTGTGTTTCTACGGACATTTTAACAGATCCGTCTAGCGTGTAAGCACCCTCACATTTCACTGATTGCTCTCTTTTACGGACGAGATTTGAAATTACTTCCATTTTAAAAAAGTTAATCATGGTAAAACAGAGCATGATACTTCAAAAAGGTTTTTTTTCTTTTTGCCGTTCGATGAATTCAGTGATTTTTAGTACAAAATATTTTCACACACATGGCTTGCGATCAGCTCTGACGTTTTTTTCTCACATGGAATTACTATCATATTTATTCAAATACTTATTATTAACATTGTCATCATCATCATCATCATTATAATCATTATTAACATCAAAAAAGCAATAGCAGTTAACCTTGCAGATTAAAATGTACACAGTGCAGGGGGTTAAACGGGGTCGGTGCAGGAAGTGAGGTCACAAGAGGGACATTTCTAACCGGTACATGCTATCCACAAGCAACAAGAAGTCAATGAACCGTTTCAGGCCAGGAGACGCCAGAAACTTCTGCTGCCTTCAAGTCTTTGTGGAAAGTTCCTACTTACGAGTTGCAACGACACTTTTGAATAATTCTGAAAAGTTGCACTCTTATGAGTCGCACTGATGCATTTAAATAATTATGAAAAGTTGCACTCTTACTTTTAATTTGCAATGATGCATTCAAATAATTCGCAAAAGTTGCACTCTTATGAGTTGCCGTGATGCATTTAAATAAGTATGAAAAGTTGAACTCTTACTAATGAGTTGCAATTATGCATTTAAATAATTTGGAAAAGTTGCACTCTTATGAGGTGCAATGATACATTCAAATAATTCGGAAAAGTTGCACTCAATAGTTGCAATGATGCATTAAAAAATACTGAAAAGTTGCACACTTGTTAATGAGTTGCAATGATGTATTCATATAATTCGAAAAGTTGCACTCTTTCTGACTTTTCTAAACTGTATTTGCACATTAAAAATTAGTTTTAGCGGATGAGTGACATCTACAGCTGTATATTTCTTTACGTTTATTTTATTAACCAACATTCGACAACCAAAAAGTGTCCAAATACTTAAATTTCCAACACTACATCTATTTTTTATACTTTGCAACAAGTTTGAAAAGTAATTTAAAGCACTTCTCTTTTTTAACTTTCCGTCAAACACAAGAAAACAACACTAAATGTGTACAAACTAAACTTCTTTCGATCAATACCAATGATTCTCGGCTAATAATGACATTTCGGTTGTAAATCTCGTAAATACGACCATTCCATTGTGACTTAAAGGCAGCAATATCCTCCGAGCCGAAAGGCTGAAACAGAGAGGCTGATGGGAAATGTAGTGTAAATGTAGCCTCTACTGTATATATATTTACACTGAGTGTGAAGGACCGACGATCTGAGTGATGGACAGACTGAGGACAATATGAGGGCTGGACGCGGGTCAAATGTTTGCTTTGGGTCGAGAGCCCAAACAAACGCAAACGAGGGGCTGAGATGACACGGCCCTCCTCGCTAGAAAGAAAACATGTGGTTTGACATCATTCATAGTAGCTACGCACGTCAGAACGCTCCACCGTTCAGCTCGGATCTCTGTGTCGGGATCCGATGGGCCCGCTGGGGAACAGCTTTGACCGGGTCACCCGGACATCGCAACCGTCATCGTCGACACGTCACTTTACAACCAGCATGTCCAGCACGCACATCAAGAGACACCCAACTGGCATTACACTTGTCGTTCACATCTTTTGCATCACATTTCAGGTTTGGACGATAAAAGGTGACCATCGTTGGCGACGGGAGGGAGGAGTGAAGCGGTGATATGCGACTGGGTGTGAATGGGAAGAGGAAGGAATGATCGAGTGATGTAGTGATGGCTCCTGGATTAATGCATAATTTCTTTTTGTTCACAGTGATGGGTTCGTATTTAAAGACTCCTTCCGAAGTGGGAAAGTTTTAGACCTTCATCAGAACAGAGATGGAGAGGCAGAACCACAGGCCGACTCCTGATAAACGGCCGTTCAGAGACGCCACTCCGCCGTACACGGCCCCGGGCCCTAGAAGAGAGAAGCAGATGTGAATAGAGTGAATGAGAGAGAGAAAGCTGGTCAACATAGAAACCTTGTGCTAATGTGTTACATGTTAAGGCAATATGACATCTCAATAGATTATTTATTTTCTAAATACACATTTCTGGTTTTATTGATTACATTTACTGATTGCACTGGTGTTTTTTTTTTATTTAACAACAACAACAACAACTTTCATTAATATTAATTTAATTTAATTTCATCATATTTTTAGTATTTTATATATATATATATATATATATATATATATATATATATATATATATATATATATATATATATATATATTGGCTGATTGGCTGATCTGTGCACACAGACAGACAGACAGACAGCAGTCAGTGAGCAGACAGATAGTCTGACAGGCACTAATGGTTTCAGAGTCAGTAGTTATTTACTCTCGCCATTGACTGACTCGCTTATTTTAGAGAGCCAAATCAATCTTTCTCCTGCCAAGATGGCACAAGTCATGCAGACAACTTGGATGTTTCATGTAAGGTGCAAATCATCAACTTATGAAAATAAAATTTCCCCCCACAATATTGTGTTTACATAGAGCTATAGGAATGATTTACACATTTTGCATGTACATATTAAAAAATATACATATTTAATTTATTTATTTTTACTTCTTGAATATGTTTATAGTGAACCTAGGCCTGGGCGATAAAACGGTATTGATATTTATCAATGGTACACCTTCTTCGATAACGATATAAAAAATGTTCGATAAAGCGCATGATATAGGCACGTGCTATGAGTGACGCAGACAGCACACACAAACACGAACACATGCTCAATTGAGTGCTGTGCCTGCCTGTGATGAGGAGATTGTGAGTAAAAAGAAATTATATTAGTCGAATTTAAAATAAACATTTGCATTTGAATGTTAGGAGTGGGTCAGGGAGCGTCATCAGTGGCGCACAAGATGCGGTGATAAATATGTAAGTGACGTTGTTGCATTTTAATGTTTTGTTAGTCTTGCCCACGAGATGCGCCTCTGCTGTGTTATGCATTCAAAATATTAAGAGAAATATAGAAGCTCAATGCAGAGAAGATCTTGATTAGGTTAAAACCGAAACCAAGCCATTCACACAGAACGAGTATTCAGTGCATTTTTTTAGACTGACAAATATGACTGCTGCACTCGCGTCTCACACAAGAGATGTAGCCACGCAAAGTTAAAACAGTTTAAACTTTTAGAAAATACGTCGCAAATTTGTGGAGGTTTATTCCTTTTCACTGCATCCTTATGTGATGGGAGATTTGGCTCTTTGTATTAAGCAATGCATAAATACATGATACTATTTTGTTCATAATTGTTTATGCAATTTACGAAATTATATTTGATTTATATGAGTTAATATACAATCAACAATCGATCAATCAATCAATCAATCAATCAATCTCTCCCCAGTTGTATATTATTTAAGAGCATGTGCTTGATGCAAAGAGCTTAAAACATCACTCCATCACTCATAAGCATGAGCAGATATGCATTTCCCACAAGGGAAAATCTTCAGTCAGGAGTGACTGAGCTCATTTTCCTGTTAGCATGACTCAGAGTCTGTTACTAAAGAAGCTAGAAAAAGTAATCCCTCTTACTTGACTGAATTTCCCCTGAGTCAATAAAGTCCATCTATATGTCTATCCACGTCACAGCAGCTGTATGAATCTTGACACATCTCATTCCCTCAGGACTAACATAAGGTGGCTACAAGATGTCTGATGTCCCCCAGGGATCTGATCACATATAAACAAATAAAAGAGCCATGGTGAATAAAGAGCTCTGCTGCTGACAAAGGTATTTAGACAAATCAGTACACTTTTAGTGGTTAAATTAGGAAGATGGCATTCATTTCAAGTCAGATTATGCAAGTTAAATGGATTGCAAACATTGTTTTCATTTACTTCAACCTAATTTAAAAGAATTTTGTAAATTTTGATAAATCTATGTATAGTGCATATAAACCATAATGCAAATTTTATTAACATAAAAAATAAATTCAAATCATTTTAACAGGAATTTAAATAAAGTTAAAATTGTTAAAAAGTAAAAATTTTTAATGACTGATCTTTTTATTATAATTACATTTAAAATAAATTATAAATAAATAAGAAAATAAAATGCAACAAGTAAAATACAGTAAAATGATAAAAAAAGAATGAATTGAAAATGTTTTTAATAATTTACTGTATCTTTCATGAAAAGTAGCTAGAATAAACAGTATGGTTATTTATATGGTATAACGCATATAAAACTTATAAAATACACTACATGTATATAAAATAACTAAAAAGTTTATATTTTAATGATTTATTTTTTATTATTATTAAAATTAAAAATTACTAAAAAAAACTATAAAATAAAATGCAACAAGTAAAATAAATCACAATGATAAAATAATGAATTTAAAATATTTTTTAATAATTTAGTGCATCTTGCATGAGAAGTAGCTAGAATAAACAGTATGGTTATTTATATGGTTTAATGCATATACAACTTATAAAATACATTACATGTATATAATAAAAATATAATAAATAAATAAAAATTTATTAAAAATAGCTTTTTAAATGGCAGATTTTTTTACAATTATATTTATTAAAATGATAAACATTTACATAAAATAAAAATGTTAAATATAATTTAAGAAGTAATATACAGCAAAAATGCTAAAAGTAATACATTTAAAATAATTGACTATATCTTACACAAAAAGTAGCTAGAATAAACAGTACGGTTGTTTATATGGTATATTTTAATAGCACCCCTGATGGATTCTTATAGTTTATTTGCATGATATTCACTTTAAAATGGTAATTTCATGACAAATCAAATTTTCTTTTACCTTTCAAACTAAAATAACTTGAAGTATTTGTGAAAACATACACTTCTGCAGCCTCAAAAACTGAAAACCTCACCCCAAGTGAAAAAAATTATATAAAGTACATACAGCATATACAATATGCAAACCATTCCTAAAAAGCAGAAGACAATGATCATGAAAAAATAAAACAAATGAAAGAAATTATAGGAGAAAATAACAGCATAGGGGGAACGGCAGGATTTCTGTTCCCAGGTGAGTTATCCAAAGACCGACAGCGGTGGGACAGATGTTTCGTCTCCGAAGGATGAAGATAAAGATCGCAGCACGTCTGATGGAAAAGTGCGAGTCGAGGCCAGACGACGGCGTGGCAGCGACATGAACAAGAGAAGATGCATGGAAGTGACGGCAGGTGACTCATCACGGGAATAACTCTCCCAGAGAATGTGAGACGGAATGAGACGGACTCGCTTACAATGGTAATGCGTGAGGGGAGGAAACGGCAGGAATCACTCACTGCGGACTGAAATGTGAAGAATGGAGCGAGAGAAGCCACTGATGACTTCCTGGGGTAACAGGACACAACGGAGCGGGAACAAATGAGAGGAGACATAATGGGCCGGAGAAGAGAAAAGACGGGAGGAACCGAAAGGAAGCAAGAAACAGCAGAAGAAACAGATGAGATGGATATGGACCATCATGACGCAGCTGTATGCCACTTTTACTAACACTGGTTGTGCAAAGGCCCTGCTGTTTATTGCTAATGAGGTATAAAAGCATTATGTAAGCGATAATGTACAGCCAGCCACAAACAATTACACGACTCTCTGGAATACTTCATTCTGATTGGTCAATCACAGCATTCTGCGGACAAACATTTTTATATAATGACACTAAACTGTATAATTGTTCACCCGGCCAAACCTTTTCCTTCATATCTGTGCTAGTTTAATGTCTCTCATAGCAATCTGCATACTCTTTGTGCTTATATAATAAAATGATTTCAATTCAATTGATTTCAAATCTGATTCAGTGATTTACTTCCTTTCCTGAGGCTGTGACCCTACTGAACTGCATTGGTCACAGTACTTTACAAACATGTACTTGAAATATGTTCTTCATATTTTGCACAGACTGCAAATTGTTTAAGCCATTGCACTGTACACAGCACAGTAAATACAGACTATAAATACATAGACATCGCTATACATTGTTTAACAGTACTATTGCACACACAACCATTTGTATTATTACCACTGTTCTTATGTGCTGCTGTTCATACTGTATATATAACCCTACATTTGTACCCCCATTTATATTCTGTACATACTCTGTTTGATATTGTATAAATATATAGCAACTCCACTGTACATACAAGTTATAGCTTCACTTACTCTGCACTTATCTGTATATAAAACACTATATTTTTGCACTTCTGGTTAGATGCTAACGTCTCGGGTTACTTATGTAACCATGGTTCCCTGAGGGGAACGAGACACTGCGTCCTCTAGGGGTCGCTATGGGGAACGCCTCGTCGTGACCCGTGTCTGAAGCCTACATTGAAAAAACACCAACTTGTTTGGCCAGGCGACAGCCATGACGTCACTACCGTCGCAACTAGTACAAAATAGGCGCCGGTAGCGCACATCATCACTTCTTCGTCTGAAGCTTGTGTCCGCAGCATGGCACAAAAAGCTAGCATTTGAATCTAATCTAATCTATTTGTGTCATCAATAATTAATGTTTACTATATTAAAACATTTTTAAATGAATAAATACTTAGAGAAATATTAGCAAAATATTAATATATATATATTTATAAAAATATAAACAATTATTTATATATATTCATAATTTAATAATAAGTAAATATTTGAGTAAAGATTTGTTTGTCACCAATCATAAATATTTGCTATATTTAAATATTTATTTTTAAATAAAGGCATACTTAATAAATAAATATGTATAGAAATTCATAAATATTTGTTTATAAAATATAAATATAATTTATAAATATTTACAAATATTTAAGTCTATGTGCGCCATTTTTCACAATGGTTTGTTTGTGCCATTAATCATAAATGTTTACTATATTTAAACATTTATTACAACAAATGCTAAATAAATAATAAATAAATAATA